CTTCCAATTTTAGAAGGCTGGAGTAATGGTGCTGCAGCCGGTGGAATGCCGGCACCTACTTACAATCCGTATCCTGCACAGCCGGACTACTGTGCCGCTTGGGCTGAATATTACCGACGTCAGAAAATGCAAGGATATGTGGACGCTACACAATGGCAGACCCAACAGCAACCTGCGGTAGTCGCTGCCGCTCCAGTCCCACAACAGGCGGCCCCTGGGATGCACCCATCTCAGGCTGGAATGCATCAAGCTCAGGCTGGAATGCATCAAGCTCAGGCTGGAATGCATCAAGCTCAGGCTGGAATGCATCCAGCTCAGGCTGGAATGCATCAAACTCAGGCTGGAATGCCGACCGCTCCTGTTCTTTCCGCCTATCCAGGCCAACCCGCTGCTCCAGGGCAGGTGAGTGTTCTCGCTGACTTTGCTCTTCACTTCACTTGGGAAGGCGAGCTGAAGGGTTTCGTGAATTGGTTGAAGGGAGGCCGAACTAGGCTTGCTTTGGAGTTGTGGCCTAATTCGTGTTAGTGTTTACTCTGCGACGAAAGATTATTCACATAAGCCTGGTCGATACTTCAGGGCAATCCGGTATATCGTGGGGCTGCTTAACTTATTTCTTTGCTTTCTTTTTGATGCTAACTTGATTATGCGTCACCATTACATTATTTAGGGATTCTTTGGACCCCAGCTTTTCTTTGTATCCTGCTGTTGTTGCTGACATTAACCTAACATAATTTTATTTTTTTGCTCAGTACGACTATACTCAGTGGCAATGGCAATGGCAAGCTTGGCAGCAGGCCTGGCAACAGCAGCAACAACAACCAGGACAACAGTCTGCTGCACTCGGGGCTCCTCCCACTCAGGCACCACAGCCTGCTGGCCAATAACTTTGCTCTTCATTCATACTCTTGCTATTTTTGCGCTTGCTCGGCTTTATTCTTCTAAGAGTTTGCTGACCCAAGCTAGGTATTTATTATATGAATTTCTGTCATTTTCTCATTATTGCAATAAGTTTCTTGTCATGTTGCTCTTGTTTGCCAAATTGGTTTCTTTTTCCTATCATCGTTCATCTTCTCATTGTTAGATATTTGTTTTGTTTTTGTGTTTCTATCTTTTTCTATGCACTGCATTTTTAACTCCTTTTGTTGCGAGATTTGTTTCATCTTTACCTTAGGAGCCGTTTGTCTCCAAATTTCCCCTCTAATTTTTACTCGGTCATTTCATACCTAACCTTGCTCTCATTTTATATATTATTCACATTCACTATTCGCTTCATCCTAGCTAAAATTCTTTATATCTTTAATTCTACGAGCCTCAATCTCCTTAGATCACCACAATCAATCTGAGGGATAATTTTTAATTATTTATGGCGTATTCTCCCTTTTCTGCGCTGCTTTGTGTTTTAATGTGCATGGTGGTATTCATGTGTTCTTTTTCAAATTTGGATTTGCGATAACTTTATATACATTCTCGTTATCCAAACTTGGTTGTTTGGATTCAATAAAGTCACGCCTAAATAATTTTTGCTCAGACGCTCTAGCCATCGGTTATTGATCCTATTTCTCTCAAAATCAATGCCCTAACTTCTTGTAGATTGATTAGATATGCCATTCAAACTTCATTTATTTAGAAACTCTCTTGCTCTGCCCCGAATTATCTTGGTGGTCTCAGCAATTTGGCTATGTTGCTGCTGCTGCCGCGAATACCTTAAAGAAAGCTGGACGGGTGCATTCGAGTCCCCTGCATCAGTTTGGGGAAGTCCAGGCACTGGTCCTTTGTATGACGTTAGGCTTGATGCTAAATAAATAGTGAAACTGCTGAGATATTTTACCCCGGATTTTGGCTGTCGAGCATCTTCGTTTTATTTTTGCCATGCCTCATGCTTTTTTCATCAAAGGACCCTTCCTCACAAGTCTTGCAGTAGGTTAACTTTAGGCCGGTTGCATTCACGTTAGGGTGGTGTTCTCAGTCACGTTAGCTCCAGGGATAGTGGGCGCCTCGCAACTGGTTTGGTTTTGATGATGCTAATTTGTTCCCGACGCCCGTCTTTAACGTGCTATGTAGGTGTAATTGGTCCGTTGTACTTATTGTCCAAAAATCATGCCTGTATGATCACAAATTGCGCTGTTTGCTCTGGTTGGTTGACATCTGGGTCGCAAATTTTGGCAGTCTGGCTGCCTACCACGTAAATGGGCTCTCATTCGTCTGCCTAGTCTTGCCAGGCGGGTTTGTCGAATGCATTCTTTGAGTCAATTGGTTGTGAGGGTTTCATTTCAATCACCTGAGCACCGCTCCTCAATTTGGTTCAAAGTAATGGAAAAAGCGAATTGTGAAAGACTGGCTTCGAAGAAAGTTTACACATTTCTGATTAAATTTCCCTATTTACGGGCGTAATCAAGGCAAACACAAGTAAGTGCATTCTCGGTCCTATTGACGCCTTTTTGCGTCTGCTTCGCCTGCCCCTTAAGATCTTCGAGGTTTCTTGGATTGGGAGAAAGCATTTCTGTGAGTCCTGACGTGGCTCCATCATCAACCGTTGGGCTGTAACTGTTCTCTTTTACAACTATATTAGGTGCACGAGATTTGTAAATACACTCCCAGGAATTTATTGGGCATTTTACCTGTATTCGCTTGTGCTTCTTAATGCATTTGTCTTTGTCCTCTTTGGATGGGCATCAGATGCGCAGGAAGCCATTTGTTAAATCTTCTAAGCTGCGGAAGAGGATTCTAACATGCCTCCCATCCTAACTTTGTACAATACTGTGGTAACTGATTATTTGTTAGGTTATTTTCTTTTCCTCGTATCGGTTCATATATGAGCAAACCGAACGCCTATGAATTATGAGTCAATGTTTCGGGCCAATGGCTGTTTCCCCAGTGATCTCACTCGTCATCCCCTCTTAATGTTCGCGTGTCCTTGTTTCCGCCTATGCATTTATTTTTGATTTATGGTTTGTGCAGCGACAGCCTTAACTGTATTTTTATCTTATGTTCTCTTTTATCTGCTGTCTACCCCTAGCCCTAATTTTACCTACCAGTAGGAAATGCTTTCCATTCGACTTCATGCACTTAAACCCTCTACCTGGGGTACTAGTACTCGCTAATTTGACTTAATACATTCGATTCCATGCGTGGGGCATAAGATTTTTTCTTTTCCTATGCTAGCTATCTGTTCATCCAGATCCGATCGTTTATCCATGACAACGTACATATGGTTCTAACTTCTTGTTTTATAGCAGAGCACTTCCACCTATAAACTGCTGCGTAAACACAATCTTACGAAACTCCTATCTTAAAAGAAATAATAACAGGGAGAGCTGTCAATTAATCTTTTTTAATTGTTCTAATCGGTTTGAATACATTTTATCAAAAGGTAACATCTTTGTTTGACAAATCCAGTCCTCCGTATTCTGTCCCGGATTTGCATTCTTTTTTTAGCGCTAACAAATAATCTTTGCTTAATCTATTTATGAGTTAAAATTCGATACTTGTTCCAAGCTAAAAGTTTGCACAATTTAGTCTAGTTGAGCTACATCGGCCAGAAGAAGATTTATTTTTATCGTAAATGCAGTAAATCATACATTCCCTCATATTTATCTCCACTCAAATAGATTGATTTATCCTTATTCACTAATTCCGACGAATTTCCTTTCCCCTTTTGTACTTCAAGGGCTAAATAAACTTGGACTGCAATCTGGTGCAAATTTCGCCCCCACCTTCCTCTTATTGTAGCCTTAACTATCGGCTTTCTGAACTACGTTGCGACTTTGTTTTCTTAACTTGAAATAATATTAATTGTATACAATTGCCTCTTTCGGAGTCGTGGTGATAACCTAGCTCTCAGTGCGTCTTACGGATTTCATTTTATCCACGCCAATGCGCGTTGCCTTGCCTCTCTTTCATGTTACGGTTACCTATACCTCTGCATGAAAGAGAACCCATACGGGATTTGTTTAATAGTCTCAAAGGTAATGCCAGGTCCCCGTGCTGTGTTGCGCACCTATGAAGGCTCCATGTAGTGGTACGGCCATCCGATTTATTTTCACTTGTCCTATCCTTTTTGCTACTCACCATCATAGTCTGCTTATTAGTGCATAAGGAATGTACTCAAACATATAACCTCTGGTTATATAAAGCCTCCAATATATCCATTTATGTTAGACTTAGTTAATTTGCCCTTATTTCATTCGTAGTGCGCTAATGAGCATAGGAATTTTGGCCTTCAAAGCACGTTACCACCCAACTAAATTCCATATATTCTAACAAGTAGAACTTTGCGATAACTTATTCGTAGGTATGAATATCAAGGTCGTGGCTTTTAGCATTGTAGCGATCTTTGATGCTTAGACGTCTTGCTTTGTTTCTGCAACTTGGTCATGTGGCCTAGATGAATGCACCTTGTTCCGAGACAGTTTCCAAACTCGATCTGTAGACTTGGTGCATTTTAAGGCGTCTCGGCGGTATCGTTATTTAGCCTCGCCATTCTCAATACAACACTTCAAAGAGTATAGATGGCCAGTAACCTTAAATATTATACTTTTTTTTCTGACGTTTTAACTACTTGGCGAAGCTAAATATAAGCCTTATGGTAAGTCATCCGATGTTGAAGCTCTCTGGATCGACTAATTATTATAAGTCATACTATTTACTTCTTTATACCTTCCATTATTCA